CCCGAACCCATCAGTATCAATTTAATTACCCAAGTTTTATGGATGTTCTTCGTTGCTAGAATGGGGAGGTTCGGAGAGAAAGTGATGGAGTGAGGCAAATAGATTTACAAAGTAATTTGATGTATTAGGCTTGGGAGCAATGGAAAGCAGAGATAGAAATTTACCACCTACTCAATGACAACCAACTCTTTGGCAGAATCCCATCAGAGATAGAATAGTTATTAGATCTGAACCAACTTAGCTTGGCAAAAAACAATCTGACTGGATCAATTCCCAAGTTGACCAATTCCAAATCAACTTGGTAATTGCTTCAATTTATTGAGATTGAACCTGAGCAACAATCTAATTGGGAAGAGTAATCCATCTGAAATAGGCAAAATATTTGCCCTTCAAACTTTTGATTTGAGTTGGAATATGTTAACAGGAGAGATTGCACAAGAGCTTGGAAGATCACGTGTGTTGGAAACATTGAATCTTTCTCATAATATGTTAAACATCTCTTATAATCAGTCAGAGGGGCCTATCCCACCTACTAAAGGTTTCCTTCTTGCCCCATTTGATGCTCTTAGAAACAATAAAGGCCTCTGCGAGAACGCCATTGGCCTCCCACAATGTGTATCCAAAAGTCAGAAGAAAAGCAACATTGGACTTGTGATTTTAATCGTTACGCCAGTTTTAGGCGTTCTATCTCTGTTATTCATTTTGGTGGGGTTTCTACTTCTTATGCATTATAAAAAATCTGAGATAAGAGAGTGGCAATTTCAAGATATCTTTGTTATAGGGGATATGATGGTGGAAATCCTCTATGAAAACATTCTTGAAGCTACAGAGCAATTCAACTCTAACTATTGCACTGGCTAAGGATATGGAAATGTTTACAAAGCTCGACTGCCAACAGGTCGAGTTGTTGCGGTCAAGAAACTCCACCCATCAGATGACAATCAATCTATCAATTTGTGCCCATTTGAAAGCAAGATTGGTGTTTTAGCAGACGTACGATTGCCAAAGCCATATTCAACAATAAGTCTAGGAGATTTGATTGGATATGGACATGGGATGCAGGGCTAAGGTGCTTGGATATTCATCATAATTTTAGGTGCGTGTCAAGTGCATTATTTATCTTTCTAGTCTTCCTTCTCTCTTAATAAAAATAATTTCCATAATTTGTTTTCTTCTCTTCGTGATAAACTTCTAAATCTGTTTTCTTTGCCTCTCTTGATGCTATTTTGTTGGCACAATAGAATATTATATAACAATAATACAGGCTGCGAGGTCTAATAAAAAACTTGAAAAAATATGGATGTGTTATCATGTGTTCTATCTACATTTAACCTAAAGATGAATGATGAATGGGACTACTTTTTCCAATAAATATGAAATGTAGTTAAACTGCGCACTGCATGGACTGTTACACTCTTCTTCGTTTGTTGCAACTTATTAGGCTCTTCTTTTTTGTCAATATATTAATATTGCATTTTAGCTCATCTCTAGTGGCATGTTGGTTGCATCTCAATTACAACCAACCTGTTGTCTTGCATATGACTTTGACTGGAATTGGCGCAAATGTTGAAGAATCGGATCCACAGTAACTGATGATAATTGATCTTAATATAGCCTTGTTCATAGCACCTAAAAGCTCTGTTTAATCTTCACTAACGAAACCAACATAAGTAAAGGTAACATCTTCTTTATCATCATCAGATTCAAGGTCAAATTGTTCATCTTTCATTAGACTCCAAACTGCATCACTGATTTGAAGTGGACCCAATGTCAGAGAATGATCAACAAATAAATTCACTAGTTCATGACCATATATATATATATAGCACATGTGCCATCATTCACTAAATCACTATCATTGTTTGATGGCACTAAAGCGTATGAAATGGATTGTTTTGGTATATATCAAGTAAAATATACTCTTAATACTATGGGAATACATGCATTTCATTAACTTCATCAACTACATCATTATAAAATGGTAGGTTAGGGTCTGTTTTCTTATTTTCGAGCAAGCGAGCGAGCAACCTCCTATATATCCAAACAAAAGTGACCTCACTGAAATAGTTCCATAATGTTTAATCAATGTTATCAATCTTCCCATACAACAAAAGGTTCAAAAGGTTCAAAAAAAAAAAAAAAGAAAAAAAAAGAAGGTAAAATGAATCAAAAACTCCATTTCCACATTGGTAAAAGCCAAACAACAAACTTCAATCCAAGAAGAGTAAGTGACACACTTACCAACCAAAATAAACAATTTGAGAGAAAAATTCAACAAATTTGCCACCTTTCCCACCCGTTGGGGGCACAACGACATATATTTAGGTACCAATTTTCTTTCATTGACATAATTTCTACTAATTTCTACCCTTAACGACCAAAATAAACAATTTGCGAGAAAAATTCAACAAATTTCCTACCTTCCCCACCCCTTGGGCCCTCTCAATAACGCGTTTTAATTATTAATTTCTACTTTCCACACGTTAATAATTGTTAACATGTGAAAAGTAGAAAATTGTAAGCATGTCTTTTTGGAATTATTATATATCTCAAACAAAAATGAGAGAGTAAATTGTCCTGGTTGTTGTAGAAAGTTATTTGGGTGATGGATTGACTCTCGATCCCTATGACGCATTTTACAATTTTCTATTTTCCACACACGATAATGATGGTTAATGTAATATGTGAAAAGTAAAATATTTATAATTTTATATTGGTGCTTATCCACCTTTCATTATTAGATTAATTATTTAAATTTCTAGTTTGGTGGAAAACTTGAAAACAAGCATTTACCTTAATTATCATAACAATAAAAGCACGTTGTTAAAGGAAGAAGATGAAAAAGAAGTAACATGAATTGTAGGA